AAAAACTGCATTTTACCCTATGTACTATTTTTTAGCCATGTCTGCCATCTTGGTTCACGGGCGGGGTCATCGGACACATTTTTTAAACAAGATACCCTAATGATGATTGTGGACAAGTTTGGTTAAATTTGGCCCAGTAGTTTCAGAGGAGAAGATTTTTGTAAAAGTTTACGGACGACAGACAACAGACGACGGACGCAGGACGACGGACGACGGACGCGAAGTGATGAGAAAAGCTCACTTGACCTTTCAGGTCAGGTGAGCTAAAAAAGTGTTGACTTACTTGTAGATCTATCTTATTGTGCTGATAATTTTTGCTTTTTAACGTTATAGTTTTTAAGATATAAAATAAGTTTAGGCAAAATTGCAAAAATTTGGTAGAATCGTTATCAAAGAGCAATAACTCTAATTAGGAGTCATCTAACAATTTTGGTTATGTTTGACTTATTTGCTGATCTTGTCTTGCTGTTCATTTTATCTGTATAAAGTGTCTGTGTATCTTTTATAATTTTCGAGATAATAGGGGGAAAATAAAAGGGGAATGTGTCCATGGGACACAGATGATGCCCACCCTTGCATATCATAAAATTCATACAAAGTTATAAAGGGACATAACTGAAGAATGGTAAAAGTGACGCTACCCAAATTTGTACTTCATCTGAGTTTTGTGGTAATAAGTATTGTGTATAAGTCTCATAACATTTGGTTGAGGCTAACTTAATTTACAGAAACAAAAAATTCAGCAATTTTTCCATTTGTAAAGGGGCATAACTCTAGAACGGTTATAGTGACGCCACCAAAATTCAAACTTGATCTGTGTTTTGTGGTAATAAGCATTGTGTATAAGTTTCATAACATTTGGTTGAGGCAAACTAAAGTTAGAGAATTGAAACCAACTTTGGGACGTTCGGACGTATGTACGGACGGACTGACGGACAGAAGGACAAGGGTAAAAATTAATGCCCCCTCTGCCCTGATGGGGGCATAAAAATTTTAAATGGAAAAATTGCATTCAAGAGCAATAACTACTATAAGAAGTTGTCTGTCAGTTTTGACATACATGAACAACAGTTAGAGCTCATTATTTTGATTATTTTTGCTCCTGTCAGAATTTCTCTATTTATAGCATTTTTTAAGATAAAAAGCAAAACTAGCATTTAACCCCTATGTTCTATTGTTGGCCATCTTCGTTGGCAGGCTTGGTCATCAGACTCACTTTTTAAACAAGCTACCCCAATGATGATTGTGGCTAAGTTTGATTAAGTTTGGCCCAGTGGTTTCAGAGTAGAAGATTTTTGTAAACATTAACAGACGAAGACAAAAACAACGACGACGGATGTCAAGTGATGAGAAAAGCTCACTAGGCCTTTGAGCCAGGTGAGCTAAAAAGGAAAGTTGAACTCCATACTCTACACTAGACATTTTATACTCAACATTGCTCAATGTGCCAAGACAAAAGTAATACTCCACCCTGCAGAATAACTTAGTAAATCATTTACTGCGACTTGACTAAGTTTTGCTCTCCACCTATATTTGTATTGCAGTTCATTCAAAATTGTGACCCAATCACTATTTGTTTTATCAAACAAAACTGTTCAACTGGTCAGAAATTTTAACCAACTGCTGTAGAAAACCAGTCAAGTCATCACCCTCATGAAAAAAAAATTCTGAATATTGTCTGAATTTGTCTGAAAATGTCTGAATTTTTTCTGAAATTGTCTTACATGATAAATGATGTCTGAATTTTTCTGAATCCCGATATTTCTATTCTGAATTTTTGCTGAATATTTCTGAATCAATAAGAATTTTATTCAGACAAATTCAGAACTTCTAAAAATGTCTGAATTGTTCTGAAAGTGTCAGAATTATGTTCAAGAAGGTAAGACGAATTAAGAATCTGTCTGTATCAGTAAGAATATGATTCAGACAAATTCAGAACTTCTGAAAAATGTCTTAATTTTTCTTAATGTGTCAGAACTATGTTTAATAAATTGTTGACACAGAGATGACTAACCTTTTTGTTATGTTGACACTAAAATGTAAATGTTGAAATCAAAATAGTAATAGTTTAACAAAATATTCAAAGTCAATGAACCATGACTGAAGCTACAGGGCCAAACAATCTCCATGGAAATGAAATGTGCCAATGCTAATACATATGCATACCAATTATCAATAGACCATGACAGATAGAGCAGGGTCAGATAATCTCCATGGAAATGAGATGTACCAATGCCAGTTAAACTGCATACCAAATAGCAATGACATATCACAATACGTTCCCCATGCATTAACTGACCTTATCATAAACTAATACAGTTCTAAACTAAGCAAAAGTTTCAAAATCTATAGACCATGACTGAGGGGGTAGGGTCAAATAATCTCAATGGAAATGAGGATGTATTTATTATGCTAGTTCAACTAGTGGTTCCCCAAAAACTGACCTAATCACAAACTAATACATGAAGACTTAGCAAAAGTGTCAAAGTCAGTAGACCATGACAGAGGGTGCAGGGTCAAATAATTTCCATGGAAATGAGATGCACCAATGCTAGTTTAACTGCATACCAAATATCATTGACCTACCTCTAGTAGTTCCCCATAACCTGACCTTATCAAACTAATACATGTAAACTAAGCAAAAGTTTCACAGTCACAAATTAACTTGTAATACGTTGTTCAAAGCCACTGCCGCCGCCGATGCCGGAAACAGCATATACCTATGTCTCGATTTTTGGTTTCTTCAAGGACAGACAAAACTGTAAGAATTATCTTTTCTGTATTCCCGTGTATAACGAAATTTTCAATGTGCAAAAATATCAAGTATAACTGAATAAAGTGGGTCTCATTGGGGTCTAAGCGTAACACGGGATTGGCCGATTTGTTTTAAGCGCGACACGTGAAAGTCAAATAATTAAGCGTGAAAATGGGAAATTACATGCACTATTATGGCAACGAGAGGCGGGATACGGGATTCTCACTAAACAATAAGCCGGATCCGGGATCAGACCCCCCCCCCCCCCCCCCCCGAATGAGACCCCCAATAAAAGGAATACCATTTTGTAAATGAAACAAAGAGAAATGTCGTTCTTAGCAATTATATCAGTTGATTGCAAACATGTTGCTCCGTGAAATAGGACCCCATTGATATATTCGAAATTCCTAAGAAGTGACCCATTTTAGGTACAGAGGTGTTGCTGGTATTACAAACCCCATTCATCTTCATTCATTTATTTCTTAGTTATCACCAGGAACATAGTTCCCAGATTATCACATATATACAATTTGGATCTGATCTAATTGAAAGATACCCGTTGAAAGCGGTACAGTATATATATGGAGAGCCGAAGACCCCCCATTATTTTGATACTCTTTCGAGGTCAAAACAGATGACGTACTCAAACGAAAGAATAGCTTAACGATGTAAAATGTTTTCAGACAATTACAGACAAGAGGAAAAAAGATAATATGGAATATTCGTTGACGAGTGTTAATAAAAATTAAATACTGATGTCTGGAATGTTTTTTATATTAAAAAAAAATGTAAATGGTTTCTATGAAACCATGTGTCTCGCACTTTTGCTACTGTCAGAATAAAAGTGCATTGTTGTTTGTCAAAAACATACGTCCACTTCGGGAGTTACCATTTGATTTTTAGGGGTGGGGGTGGGGGCTAAGATGAAAAATGTTGTCCTGCATTTTATTTAGTTGTAATCTCTGTCCTGTCTTCTTTTTTTCGCTCTAATCAGTCCTGCCATTTTTTATCCTGACTTTTTTATATAAATTTTCATCCTGCCTTTTTTTTGCCAAGTTGCTCATCGTGTCTTTTTTTACTCAAAACTCTTTTTTTTTCAAATTCCATCCTAAATTTCGGCACTGCTTTCATCAGCAATGTTTTGTTTTCAATAAATTCAACAAATATAAAACGTTGGGTGAATAACAAACAGTTTTCATCAGATTCAGATCGCCCTTATTCATTGTTTTTTTTCACCGACAAGTTTGAAAATTCCAAAAAAGATTAAATCATTGATCTACTGAGTAAAAGTCAATTCCGTTTTTAAAAGGTAATATTTATTGCAGAAATTATGCAATCAACTAACTTGACATCGCTTACAAAAATTTCGTTTTTTAAACGATTTGTTTATTGCATAAATTATACAATCAACTACTTGAGCATTGGAACTTGACATCGCTTACAAAATAGAAATGTTAAACATAACTGACATCGAAATACAAAAGCGTGTCGACTGCACGAGGTAACATTGGTGGGAAATTTAGATATCGGGTTAAATGTTTACTTGATTGACAGGAATCAATTATCGTTGAGGCTCCAGTAGGGAAAATATGATGAAGTTGCCATTATTATAAAGTGGATGGAAAGTTAATTAACCGACGTTAAATACGTTTATAATGTATAGATCAGTTCAAACAGGGACAGCCTATACTAACGATTTGGTACCCAACCAGATTTTATGTTCGGACTCCAGGACGTTTTTCTCACAGGGACTCGGTTAGCAGGTTAATTGTTTTTATGATAAATGCCTAAAAAAAAACCGTTTTTCCTGTCCAATTGTATAACTTCCTACGTAAATACGACTGTGGTAAATACCTGGGACTATTACAATAACAGTTAGTTTAATAGTCCCAGTAAATACATTATAAACGTATTTAACGTCGGTTAATTAACTTTCCATATTAGATTCAGAAATAAGGTACGAATTTCCTTGTACGATTTATTTACTCTGCCTACGATTTAATAGAACTTATCGGTCAGCGTAACAGATTATAATCCGGAAAATGATCCGGAGTCGGTTTTCATGTTAAAACACTGCTGAGATCTAGAACTTGTGACGCAGACGACGAAAGAACGCTGCAGAACAGATAAACAAGAACCTTTGTATATATAAAACAGCTTCATAATCATAGGAAAAGATGACGTCTGCCATTCAGAAGATGGTTTTCAACTTGCCCAGAAAATTGACTACAATTTGTTAACTGTCAGTGTCAATCCAACCGCACATACAACTAATGCATGAATGAACTATCCACCACAGGCTAAGAACAATGTCTCCAAACGGGTATGATGAGTCCATTGACAATTTTTTGATTTGGAAACGGCCATTTAATATTGTGGGTGGGAGCAGGGGATTTGGAAAATGAATAATCTTGCCTTGCCCTTAAAGATATCAGAATGAAAAATTATTTTACCCACCAAAATAAAGGATATTTAAGACTTTATGTGTGAAAATATATTTTTTGACAACAAAAAAATAAAACAATCGGGAATCACAAAATAAATATTCCAAAATTCATCCTGCCTTCTTCTTCTTCTTCAGTTATACAACAAAACTTCAGGATACTGAAGATTACTTGTTGTTGCGCATGCGTGTTTAAATTTAATTTTCTTGTAGATGCCAAAGAAAAAAAAAAAAATATATACAAATTTGACAATTTGTGCATGTATATTACAAAAACTAGTGATTAAAATAAAATTTATATACAAAAATTTAAATCAGTTGGCAGAGAACACCTTGTGTAAGGTGTGCTCTGAAACTGTCAACTGTGGTTGACTGTACTGTGGCTATAGGTAGCATGTTCCATTGTATGATGGTGTGTGGGAAAAATGACCACTTATATGTTTCCTTTGTGGTTCGTATATGTCTATAAGTATTTGGATGGTTTTGTCTTGTTCTACTGTCTGTTGGTATTAAAATTTCAGATGGTATGGCAATGAGGCCGTGAATTACTTTGTAAAATATAATAAGACGTGTTTTAAGGCGGCGTTCAGCTAATGTTGGTAGTTTTAAATTATTCATCATATTTGTAACGCTACTGGTGTTATGGTAGTTGTTACAAATGTACCTAGTTGCTCTTCTTTGAACCATTTCTATTTTTTGGGTAGCATCTTTTGTGTGAGGGTCCCATAAACTGCAGCTGTATTCTAATTTAGGTCTGACTATTGCTTGATATGCTCTTGATTTAATGTCTGTGTTTGATATTTTTAAATTTCTTTTAAGGAATCCTAAAGATTTATTGCCGTTTGAGATAATGTTGTCATAATGTAGGTTCCATTTAAGATTTGATTGTAGAGTAACGCCCAGATATTTAGCAGATGTAACAGATTCAAGAATGTGACTATGAAGGATGTAATCATGTAAATATGGTTTCTTTTTATGTGAAATTGAGAGTTTAGTACATTTATCAGGGTGGAAAGCCATAAGCCAATCTGCTTCCCACTTTGCTGCAGCGTTTAGATCTTCTTGTAATTTATCACAGTCTGATTGAGATTTGATTTCTCTATATATGATGCTGTCATCAGCAAAGAGTCTTAATTTGCTATGTGTTAAATATTCAGAGAAGTCATTAATGTAAATGAGAAATAATATGGGGCCCAGTACAGTACCCTGTGGGACTCCAGATGTTACTGGCACTGATGTAGAAGAAATACCATTTATTACAACTGTTTGTGTTCTATCGGATAAAAAAGCTTGGATCCATTTAAGTGTATTTTTCCTTATACCATAGTATTGAAGTTTGTAAAGTAATCGTTGGTGAGGAACTTTATCAAACGCTTTAGCAAAGTCCATAATGATAAGGTCAATTTGAATGTTACTATTATTACTAGATGATAGTTCTTGAATGAAGTCAATTAATTGTGATTCACAAGATCGGTTTTTTCTGAAGCCATGTTGTAGATTATATAAAATGTTGTTTTGTTCTGAATGTGACATTATGTTACTTGTGATGATATGTTCCATGATCTTACAGCATATACATGTTAATGATATGGGTCTGTAATTTACAGGTTTATATTTTTCCCCTTTTTTAAATGCTGGAGCAACGTTGGCATGCTTCCAATCTTTAGGTGTTTCCCCCGACTCTAATGACTTACTGAATATTAATGTAAGTATTGGTGACACTTGCTCTTTTAATTCTTTTAATACTCTACCGTTTATATTGTCAGGTCCACATGCTTTGTGGGGGTTAAGATTTGATAGTAATTTTGTGACTCCTGTTTTGCCAATAGATATTTGTGGCATTTCAAGATGTGGGCTAGTACCTTTGTCTGGGATATTTGTGTTAGATTCATTTGTAAAGACGGACTGAAATTGATGGTTTAAGATGTTTGCTTTTTCTTCTGTTTCAGTGATTAGTATACCGTCCTTTTTTAAAGGTGCAATACCTGTGCTATCTGTTCTTGTGCTTTTAATATAGCTAAATAAATTTTTGGGTTTTGCATTTGGTGTCATATGTTGGTCAGCATCATTTACAGGTAAGTCACAGATTATTTTTTCTATGTAGTTCCAGTAGCCTGTACGTAGTTCTTTCTGTACTTGCTTTTTAAGTTTTTTGAATTTTTCTGGATTTTTCTTTCTCTTGCTATATGCTTTATTTTTGTTGTTAATAAGTTTTCGTAATTTGTTTGTCACCCAAGGTAGTCTATGTTTATATGTTAACATTTTATGAGGTACATTATTTTCAATTGATGTTACAAGGTCCACTTTAAAGGTGTTCCATAATGTGTCGACATTACTTGTTTTATAGTCTTTATCTAATGTTATTAGAGTATTTTCTAAATCAGACTTGATATTATCCCAGTTAGCCTTATCAAATTTAAGAATTTTTCTGGGTACTTCCCTTACTCTTTTGAGCCATGTATCTATTTCAATATAAACTATGTCATGATCTGCTTGACCAACTGGTGGTAATGTTGTAATTTTGTTTATATTTGTTGGGTTTGTAGTAAAGAAAAGATCTAGAATTCTATCTTTACGTGTAGCTTTATCTGTCACTTGATGTAAGTTGTGATCATTTATAATGTCTAGTAATTGTTGATGCAATGTTGGTTCAGGTTTGCCTGTAACTACAGATGGTATAGACCAGTCAATATGGCCCAAGTTAAAGTCGCCTCCAACCCATATATTCGATGTTGAAGTATTTTTAATTCTATTTAATGATATGTTTAAATTTTCTAGAGATGTTCCGTCATCAGAGGGAGGTCGATAATAAGTACCAATAATGATCTTTTTAGTACCTGTGATGTTTATTTCAGCCCATACAAGTTCACATTCGGTTTGTAATTCACAAATTTCTGTGCTTATGAACTCTTTTGCCTCCCCCTGTAACAGAATATTAAATGGTTGTACCCTTATACAGTCAGATTATACCATATTTATTCAATGCAAAATTCAAAACAACATGTAATATGATATGGGTAAACATAGTCCAAATCATTATGAGGTCTTTTAGTTTTAAGGCTATGTTTAGTCTTGCTGGGAGGAAGCAAGGTGTCACAGAAAAGCAATGAAATGACTTACCATACAATATACAATAATGTCAATATAAAAATAAGATCTGGTTTGATTGCCAATGAGACAATTCTCCACTGCTACTGGAGACCAAATGACATCAAAGTAAGGAATAATAGTCAATGTCTGACAATTACTGATTTTTAATAAAGATTTCACAAAAAGTGTTACTGTAAATTCAGAAATTAATGCAATGTTTTTATTATTGCGAAAAAGGCGACAGGGTTGTAATCGCAATAATTTAAACTCACATTAATGATTTTGAAATTTTGTATATGAAGTAAACATGATTTGTCTCAATATCGCAAAATCTAAAATCACGCTTTAGTCGAAAATGACAATATCTCAATAATAAATGCACGCAATAATTTCTGAATTTACAGTATTTTAATTACAAATTACAATACACCTTATCACTATTTGTCGGCCATTACTGGACATCACACAGGTTCCCATTAAATTTTGACGTCATAATACAAAATATCTGATGCCACAATGGAAAAGTGATTGTTGTATGAGGTCAATAGTTAAAGCGGGACAGATTCTCGGGTCAGGCGGGAATAGTGATAAGGTGTATATAAAAAAGAGACCAAATGACACGGAAATTAACAACTATAGGTCACTGTACGGCCTTCAACAATGAGAAAAACCCATACCACATAGTCAGCTATAAAAGGCCCCAAAATGACAAATGTAAAACAATTCAAATGAGAAAACAAACGGCCTAATTTATGTACAAAAAGAGAAAGAAAAACAAATATGTTACCCATCAACAAACGACAACCACTGAATTACAGGCTCCTGACTTGGGAAAGGCACATACATACATAATGTGGCAGGGTTAAACATGTTAGCGGGATCCCTCCCCCCTCCTAACCTGGGACAGTGGTGTAACAGTACAACATAAGAACGAACTATAAAAATCAGTTGAAAAAGGCGCTTAACTCATGAGATGGATACAAATAAAATACATCTAACAAAACACAGAGTGGACGTGGCCGGGTACTTGTATATCCCAACAACAAAAAGACACTAAGTACTGATCTGAGAGTACTTGAAGTTACTGACAGCTAGTTCAAAGCCACTAAAAACTAATAAAAAAAATCATGCATCTAAGACTAAATACAAGTATATCATTATGCATTTCCTAATTTTCTTATTTTTGTGACTTGTGTGTGGACCATACAACTAATAGCTATTTGTCCACCATAACTGGACATCACAAAGGTTCCTGTAAAATTTTCATGTCACTATTTAACTATGAGGCAAACCTATACCATTTATTGGACGGCTACATGTATAATTGGTCCTGACAAGAAAAATATGAAACAATTCAATTGAGAAAATTAAAAGTCCAATTTATTACAAAACAATTAACGAAAACAAGAAATAATTGACAGTACATGAAACAACAACAACCACTGAACTACAGGCTCCTGACTTTGGACAGGCACATATAGAATGTGGAGGAGTTAAACTAAATTTGAACGCACCAACCGTGACAGTGGTGTTATGGCACAACATTCGAACAAACTATGCAAAACATTAAAAGAAAAACAAATATGACAAACAGCACAACAACCACTCAATTACAGGCTCCTGACTTGGTACAGGCACATAGAATATGGTACAATTATTGTAGGCTATTAAATACCTACCCTAACTTTTTTTTTAGATGTAACTAGAACCACACATACTATTTTATATAGAGTACATAGGTATTGAACAGATTGTTGTAGCTTAAATGTGCATGTGTTTAAAAGTAATATTTAGTATGGTTTTAATTGACTGATAACAAAATCAATATTTATACCAATAAAAAACAATATTCACTTCTTTTAAAAGAACTGGGCCATTTGAAGTTAGATGAAAGATGGTCTGCATCATTGCGTTTATGATAATGTGGAAAAACACCAATTGTTTTGAGGTAAGAATGACACAGAAGAGACACAAAATAAATCACAGCAACCTTACAATTTATAAGAATATACAAATATTTGATTTTTCACCTTGGCATAGTCGATCAGTATATTTAGTGCCAAAATCATATAGCGTAAGGCAGATTCCATATAAGAAAGTATAACAACTCCCATAAGCACGTTAGGCAAAAATCATAAGCAATGAACTTCTGTTTTTGAATACATGCTTTACTAATAAAGATAAAGACAATTTGACCAAAAAAAAAATTATGAGCATCATCCTTTTTAAATAAACGAAGCCTTAAATATTATGTTTCTGACATAAGATTTGACAGACTTTATTGTTTCTTACATAAGATTTGACAGACTTTATTGTTTCTGACATAAGATTTGACAGACTTTATTTTTTCTTACATAAGATTTGACAGACTTTATTATTTCTGACATAAGATTTGACAGACTTTATTTTTTCTGACATAAGATTTGACAGACTTTATTATTTCTGACATAAGATTTGACAGACAAATTGAGTTTCTGACATAAGATTTTGACAGACTTGATTCTGACATAAGATTTTTCATACATAAGATATTTTGACAGACAATATATATTTGTTTTTTTTGACTGACATTGGAAATCAAATCCTAGTTGAAAGTCATTTTTAAAACTCCTGGAAAATACTGCAGCCTAACATCAAACAAGATTTCACTACAGGTCAAAGAACTTTAACTGTTAGCACATTCAAATGTTTCAGACATAAGAAAAAAAGTTTGACAGATCTTATGTAGGAAACATATAAGTTAAAACTATTGCTTGAATAAAGTTAAATGAAAGAATCAACATGTGTTTTTTCTTATGCACAGCATGACTTGCAGTTTTAACTGGCATATATTGGAACCTACAATGATTTTGAAAGTTTTTACAGCGATGTTCCTGACATAAGATTTATTGACAGACACTGAGCTATAGAGCAAGATATTTGAAATTGAAAAGAAATATATCACAGATGTTTTTGACTAAAAAAAGTAACAAATTTGGGAACAGGGATGTTTGAATAACCAGACTACACTAGTAAATACCAGTATACAAGTGTCAACATAAAGCATTGCAACACATAAACATTGTGTAAAAAAATGGGAGTTAATTCTGTCAAAATTTTTGCATTTTTTCAACTTGTTTTAATCATTTCTACTTTAAACGGAAACAATCATATCCAAAAATTATTTTTATAATTTCTTCTAACATCATTATTCCTCAAAACATCCACAGATTATCTTTAAAATAACAGTGATTATTATTTTTATTTATTTATTCATTTTGACAGACATTTCAATTTCTTATATGGAATCTGCCGTAAGCTCTATGAAAATAGTACTTGTCAAACAATGAAAACTTTGTGAAAATTAATTTCTAACTATATATTTACACTAAAAATGGTTATGCTACTTGTAATGATCACAGTTTATGATTGACCTATTTACTTTTCTAACTTGAATTCATAATTGATAATCCAAAAAACAATTATTTTGTCTAAACAGTAACGTAAATGTCAAAGAAACAGGAACCCAAAAACACAAATAATCAAAAACGTTTTGAATGCAACATAGATTTTACAACAATAAACAGAGGTGCTACCGTCTATACATGCTCTTCTGTATTAACCGTACATCAATAAGATGCACACCTTGACCCTATATAACTTTCAATGTTAATTTTTAGCTCACCTGACCTGAAAGGTCAAGTGAGCTTTTCTCATCACTTTGCGTCCGTCGTCCGTAAACTTTTACAAAAATCTTCTCCTCTGAAACTACTGGGCCAAATTTGACCAAACTTGGCCACAATCATCATTGGGGTATCTAGTTTAAAAAATGTGTCCGATGACCCTGCCAACCAACCAAGATGGCCGCCATGGCTAAAAATAGAACATAGGGGTAAAATGTAGATTTTGGCTTATATCTCTGAAACCAAAGCATTTAGAGCAAATCTGACATGGGGTAAAATTGTTTATCAGGTCAAGATCTATCTGCCCTGAAATTTTCAGATGAATCGGACAACCCGTTGTTGGGTTGCTGCCCCTGAATTGGTAATTTTAAGGAAATTTTGCCGTTTTTGGTTATTATCTTGAATATTATTATAGATAGAGATAAACTGTAAACAGCAATAATGTTCAGCAAAGTATGATCTACAAATAAGTCAACTTGACCAAAATGGTCAGTTGACCCCTTAAGGAGTTATTGCCCTTTATAGTCAATTTTTAACCATTTTTCGTAAATTTTTGTAATCTTTTACAAAAATCTTCTCCTCTGAAACTACTAAGACAAATTTAACCAAAATTGTCCACAATCATCATTAGGGTATCTAGTTTAAAAATGTGTCCGATGACCCTGCCCGCAAACCAAGATGGCCGACATGGCAAAAAAATAATACATAGGGTAAAATGCAGTTTTTGGCTCATATCTCTGAAACCAAAGCATTTAGAGCAAATCTGATGGTATAAAATTGTTCATTAGGTCAAGATCTATCTGCCCTGAAATTTTCAGACCAATCAGGCAACATGTTGTTGGGTTGCTGCCCCTGAATTGGTAATTTTAAGAAAATTTTGCAGCTTTTGGTTATTATCTTGAATATTATTATAGATAGAGATAAACTGTACACAGCAATAATGTACAGCAAAGTTAGATCTACAAATAAGTCAACATGACCAAAATTGTCAATTGACCCCTTAAGGAGTTATTGCCCTTTATAGTCAATTTTTTACAATTTTCATAAATTTTGTAAATTTTTGTAAATTTTTACAAAATATTTTCCACTGTAACTACTGGGCCAAGTTCATTATAGATAGAGATAATAGTAAGGAGCAAGAATGTTCAGTAAAGTAAGATCTACAAACTCATCACCATCACCAAAACACAATTTTGTCATGAATCCATCTGTGTCCATTGTTTAATATGCACATAGACCAAGGTGAGCGACACAGGCTCTTTAGAGCCTCTAGTTTCAATTTCAAACATTTACGGGGGGACTGTAACCCTAACACATTTATGCCATTTAGAAACAAGCACTGATAAAGTAAGACTGATTCCCTAGTAGTAACCAGATAAACCTGCATAAAAAATGTTAGTAAAATTAAATGAAATTGCCTACCTACCTACCCTATTTTTATAAGCCCATTTATGGGATGTATTACGGTATACCGTTGTCCGTCTGTCCGTCCGTTGACAACATGTCAGACAATAACTTGAACCAATTGGCATGAAACTTTGGTGAATTATTAATATCTATTGACATTAGCTCCCTTTCGGTTTTTTATAGATTTTGAGTTTGTGTGTTTGTTTTTTTTTTCCATTAAAAAAGGGGGATTTTCGTGTGTGCAATTCAAACCATATTTTAATGAAATACATAAATCAAAATTTTATTGCAATGCCCTGACAAGTGTAAAAATCAGTTAAAAACAAACTATTTTTAAATGAGTTTTTCCTGTTGCAAATATAAATTAGGTAAAAAATTGAAATTGTAAGCAATCTCAACTTGCATTGTAGGAGAATAATAAAATTTATTGTGAAATTTGTATAAGCAATATATGGGACAAGTCGAAATATCAGAGGTTATGAATTATTTTAACAGGCATGAAAGGAGTTAAGTCTTTTAGAAATGTTAATTTAATATAGAAAATAGCACTCATATGTACAATTCATGCCAGATTTTTATAAAATGTATATCAATGGCTTACATCATCAATGTCAAGAGTTGGATTTAGGGAAATAGAAAGAAATATTATAGAGAATTACTAACAGTTCAAACAAGAATTTGTGGAATTTTAGTTATTGTCCCTGGGCAGACAAGACATATGCTTGTTTTTTATTTACTCAGGTATAAGATAACTGCACCTACTTGATATAATTTGTATGTCAAATGATCCATTCTATTTTGAAGGGAATTTACTCATAAAGAAAAGAGAGCTGGAGACTCAGAGAGGCAGGAAAAGAACAGACCAGGGAATCACAGATCCATATCAGATAATAAAATTGAATCGAAAATTTAAAGTTTGAATTTTATGTTATTGAAACTATTAATTTACAAACTTCCTGAAAATTTGGATTTTTTTATTATTGTTTAGAGGCTGTGGATATTTGACCATCATCAATGTGTAAGCACATTGATTTTCATTCGACTTCAAGAACTTCTTTTTAGGTTTTTATGGGAATTTCTGTTGTATAAGTTTCAAAGTTTTGTATGGATATCCACATTTTGAATCATTCTGAATGTTTTTTGAATATATCTGAATCCTTCTGAATCTGTCTGAATCCATCTGAATGTTGTCTGGATATTTCTGAATGTTGTCTGGATGTTTCTGAATGTTGTCTGATTATTTCTTAATCTTTCTGATTAAGTTCAGAATTTTTCTGAATTCATTCTGAATAATGTCTTAATTTATTCTTACATTATTCTGATTTGTGTCTGAATGCTATTCTGATTTTTGTCTGAATGTTCGTATGAAAATTCTGAATTTTTCCTTAAAAGTCCGAAATCCAGCAAAAATTCAGACATTTGCATAAATGTAAATTATTATAGCCATTCAGACATTATTCAGAAAAAAATAAGAAAAATTAAGAATACTTGTCAGACAGAATTCAGACACCATTTTTTCATGAGGGCAAAGTGCAAGGTGATAAAATAATTTAAAGCATACAACTCTATTTTCACTTCATTGCTGTTATGAAAATTTTTCTTAAATTTCTTATACATATTGTTATTGTATTTAAAAGAGACAAGGTAATTAATTTCAACAGGGCATGTGGTGAAAATCCTATGAATAAAGCACCTAGGATTTTGCCATAATATGATTTACGGGAAATTTTCTAGGACCAACCTGGATTCCTGTTCTAAATAGGTATGCAGAAACAAAACAGAGTTGATATGGAAATAACAATTATATACAGAAAGAACATAAACTGTTATCACAGAGATATGTCGCGCCTTTTTGTAATTTTGATTATGCAAATGTTGAAATTAAAATAGCAATACTTTAACATGTAAGTTATGCAAATATTCAAAGTCAATGAACCATGACTGAGGTACATGGCTAAACAATCTCCATGGAAATGAGATGTACCAATGCTAATACAACTGCATACCAAATACCATTGACAATTATCGTAAGTCGTTCCCTTTAAACAAACCTAATGACAAACATTAATTTGTAAACTATGTAAAAGTTTCAAAGTCAATGAACTATGAAGAGGGGGTGGGGCTATATAATCCCCATGGAAACGATACTTGCAAATGCCAATAAAATTGCATACCAAATATCATTGACTTAACCTTAGCAGTTCATCTTAAACTGATCTAATCACAAACTAATACATGTAAACTAAGCAAAAGTTTCAAAGTAAATAGACCATGACTGAGGGGGCGGGGCCAAATATTCTCCATGGAAATGAGATGTGCTAATGCTTATACAACTGAACACCAATTAACATTGGCCTACCACTAATGGTTCCCCTTGAACTGACCTAATCACAAACTAATACATGTAAACTTAGCAAAATTTTCAAAGTCTATAGACCATGACTAAGGGGGCGGAGCCAAATAATCTCCATGGAAATGAGATATGCCAATGCTTATACAACTGCATACCAAATATCATTGACCTGCCACTAGTGGTTCCCCATAAATTGACCTAATCACAAACTAATACATGTAAACTATGAAATGTTTCAAAGTCAATAGACCTTGACTGAGGGGGCGGGGCCAAATAATCTCCATGGTGATGAGATGTGCCAATGCTAATACAACTGCATACCAAATATCATTGACAGGGGCGGATCCAGGATTTTGGAAAGGGGGGCGTAGTATTAAAGTTCGCCATTTTTTTGGACATTTTTTTTTCACTAAAAAACATTAAATAACGGTAAAATGCATTTTATAGTTTAAGTGTAGGGGTTGGACATTTTTGGTGCCGTATTCTCTCAATCAATTGTCTATTATGAAATGATTGGATGGATCCAAAGCTATGTACTAATTAATATATTTGATGTGGGATTTGTCAGTAAAAAATGGACATGGAAAATTCTCGTTTGTTGTATGGTTAGTTAGCATAACCTCACAGATTTCTTGTTGTAAACAAGATATACGGCTATTCAATGAAATTTGCAATACATACGACCGACACGAAGAAAGACAAACAAGCAATTTTCATCCAAATGTTTAACAAGGGAATTGAGGGGTTCCAAATCAACCAAAGGCTTACACGAATGAGTCGGAAATAACAATGAAGTTGTGAATGACGGTCGACACATGGAGACATACATGACATATAGGCCACACCCAGCAGGCAGGTTGCAGTCGGGCCTTGAAAAAATTATTCAGTATATAAGTTCGGCGAAACAGATATTCCGGTCAGATATGGGATTCACATGCAACCCCCCCCCCACCAAAAAAAATTACGCCCGTCTTTTATTCATCATGTTCATTTAATGCTAAATAATTCTGTTGAAAATATTTTTTTCTAATAGCAAAAAAGTGGACAAGATTATTGTTTTCAATCCAGATACGCCCAGAATTTTTGTTGAAGGCAAAAATCATGGTCAGAATTTGTTCTCTAAAATATCTGACTGCCACTTCAGATCAAATGGTCCGTACCTTACACTTTAAATGTATATCTAGAGCTTACTGACTGGGGATCACTATTCAGCAATTTTATTAATGGGCTGGGGTGTGTGGGGTTAAACATGTTTCCGTAGGTAAATAATATTGATGTGGAACTTTTTTTTTCATGAGAGTGTAATAGAGTATTACTTTCTGTTGGGTGGAATTGTGAAATAGAAGTCAATACGTTCTTGCTCAATACTTTGTCGCTTTGAAGGCGTCATGCTTGTCACCCTCACCCTAAGCAATGTGTTACTGTAATTTGAATTTCATAATGACTGAGTGACGGTTTTTTTTCGATGAACTGGTCAACTCCACTGTACTCGGAGAATCACATGACTTTGACATAATCAATACATGTAGTATATTACAGTACGAGCGAAAAATATCTTTATAAGTAAAGAATTGTCGCATAAAAATTAAATACACGGGAAATGGCAAAGTTCACGAAGTCTAGTCTGATTAATCATTTTACAAAAAAAAAAAAAAAAAAAAGTGCAGGCAAAGGGGGGGCGTACTGCCTCTACGCCCCTCTCTGGATCCGCCACTGATTGACCTACCACTAGTGGTTCACCATGAACTAGACCTATGATCACAAACTAATACATTGTTGAAGCCGCCGCGGACGCCGGAAACAGCATACCTATGTCTCGCTTTTTGACTCCGTCAAGGCGAGACAAAAAAGCAGCATAATATATACAGACAACTAGATACACAAATGTTTTGATAACAATAAACATTCATTAGGTTTGCTCCTCGCCTAAAGTTTGAGACACCAAATAATTCTTAATTCATGAGCTAGGGCAATATATATTTGGTAAATAGAACATTTAAATTTACTCTTCTTCCCATTTTATATATATTTTGCTTAAAGGAGTTCCAAGCTTGGTTTAAGTACAATTCTATAATTAATAAACTGAAATTTTACAATTAAATGTATCATTCAAATTTAGCCAGTAAAGAAATATACTGACTACTTGGAAGAATGAACCCTCTTAGAATGACAGTCTATCAGCAATGGAACCGATCCAGTTGTGGTGAAAAATATTAATGATATCATACTGTAAATAGTTTATCAGAATAATTTTAAAATACAACAAACATGACATATGTGTCTCAGTTATTTTGTTTGAGATGAATTGAAATTTTGTTAGATGTATAATGACATATGATATGGACGTATATAACATATTCACTTACTAAAATCCCAAACTTATACTTACTAAAATCCATATGTTTAGATTCCACATTTTCTGTATATTCTAATGCAACCTGCAACAAGTTCAGTACAAATTTAAACATTGTTAAAGGGGCATTAGCTGTCAAATTCATGCATGTTCACCGATTTGACTCAAATACCCATATTTCAGCTATAAAATACTAAAATGTATATCTAAATTATAATAAACTGCTTCGCTGAGCGCAGCTGGATACGCCCGCAGAGGTCTAACCCTGAACAGTTGGGGCAAAAATGGACACAATATTCAAGCTTGATACAGGTCTGAATTTGGATTGTAATTAAATATTTGACATATTACATGTATTATAGGTTTCTGAATAAATGTAGTCAAAGAACTTGAAATTGGTTATATGAATTGAATTTATATTCAATTAAAGATTTCTTGCTGTTGTGCAATACACTGTGCTGTTGTGCAATACTTAGTAAATCTGTTGTCAGACTATAAACAAATAAAGTTCAATTAATTCTCAATGTCATATTAGAAATTTATGAAAATGTAAAGGGAGCTTACATCAATAGATATAAACAATTCACCAAAGTTTCATGAGAATTGCTGACAGCATTTTTGAGTTATTGTCCGAAAAACTGGAAAATCCCCCCTTTTTTAATGAATAAAACCCCATAACTCAGAAATGATAAATGAAAAATTTATAAAATTCTAAACGGAGCTTACATCAATAATTATAAACAATTCACCAAAGTTTCATAAGAACTGCTGAAGTTATTGTCCGAAACTGGAAAATACCCCTTTTTTAATGAATAAATCCCCATAACTCAGAAATGATAAATGAAAAATTTATAAAATTCTAAACGGAGCTTACATCAATAGATATGAACAATTCACCAAAGTTTCATAAGAACTGCTGAAAGCATTTTTGATTTTTTTGTCCGAAAACTGGAAAATCCGCCTTTTTTTTTATGAATAAAACCCTGTAACTCGGAAACGTAAAATCTAAAATATATAAAAATTGAAAGGGAGCTCATGTCAATAGATATAAACAATTCACCACAAATTTCTTGCAAGTTGGTGAAAGCATTCTTAAGTTATTGTCCGAAAACTGGAAAATCCCCCTTTTTTTATGAATAAAACCCCATAACTCAGAAACCTAAAATCTAAAATTTATAAAAATCGACAGGTAGCTCATGTCATTAGATAAAAAAAATTCACCACAATTTCTTGCAAGTGGGTGAAAGCATTCTTGAGTTATTGTCCGAAAACTGGAAAATATCCCTTTTTTTAATGAATAAAACCCCATAACTCGGAAACGTAAAATCTAAAATTTATAAAAAAGGAAAGGGAGCTCACGTCAATAGGTATAAACAATTCACCAAAGTTTTATGCAAATTGGTTACAGCGTTTTTGAGTTAATGTCCGACATGTTGACGACGGACGGACAGACAGACAGACGGACAGACGGACAACGGTATACCATAATATGTCCCGTAAACAGACGTATAAAAACAAGTGTTTACTTCACAAAAACAATATTTGATACATGTATGGCCTAATATTGATAATTATGGTTGCTTTATAAAGACAAAATACTAGATGCATGTTAATTTTACACAATTAAAATGCAATTCTCTTCAGGAGGCAAACAGGGGAGCGTCTTTTTACCACAGAACACCACAGAATACCACAGAATACCACAGAACACCAAAAATATACCACAGAACACCAAAAATATTAATAAAACATGGAGGCGTCAATTATGAAAGAGTGATATCTTAAATATAACATAATAAGATTGTTACACATTTAACAAAGGAGTTAATTTTAGCCCTCAGATTTTGATGTTTTTTTTAATCAGACCCAAATACTACAAATTTCACATAGAAATAGTTGTGATATAACTATTAGTACAAAATAACTTCATTTTTGCACAACACATAGTTGTGTTGTAACGTCTCTTTTAGTCAAATAGTTCGTAACAGTTTTTAGCATAATTTACTTTGGCCGCCACCCATGATCCAGAAAGTTTTTGTGTCCAGGATTCCATATCATCATTGGCAACTTTTTGTTACAGAACATTTTGGATCTTTGGTTGCAGCCAAGGGTTTCCTCAAGCTTTAAGGTCCAAAAAATGCACAAAATCATATTATTTTGACAATATATCCAAAATGTGCTGATTCTGAAGCCAAAAATGTACTTTCCTGTGTACGTTATTTCATTTAACGCCATTTTATCCAAGGTTATAGTTTGTCTTTCTGTTACTTTTTCAAATCTCTCCCCCTTTTTTATTAATATTGTATTTACATTGTGTCACAGATCAAATTTATTTGTACTGTATAAAATAAAAGGTTGTCCAAGGTTATAGTTTGTCTTTCCATTATTGTTTTAATTCTCTCCCCCTTTTTTTATTAGTATTGTATTTACATTGTGTCATAGATCAAATCTATTTGTACTGTATAAAATAAAATTGAGAATGGAAATGGGTTAAGAGACAACAACCCGACCAAAGCAGAAAACAGCCGAACGCCACCAAAGGGTCTTCAACACAGCGAGAAAATCCCGCACCCAGAGGCGGGCTTCAGCTGGCCCCTAAACAAAAATGTGTTTACATGTTTTTGTTAATATGTCTTTTGATTGAGTTAAGCCATTTTAATTGATATTTTATAGTGTGTCTTCCTATGTTGTAATGTTACACTACTATTTCAGGATAGGGTGAAGGTTGGCACCTGTTAAAACATTTAATCCCGCTGCATTTGTTTGCACCTGTCCTATGTCAGGAACCTGTTGTTCACTGGTTGTCGTTTCTATCTTGCAAAGAGATCTTTTTTAATAAAGAAGTGAGCCTTTGAAATATATCCATGTAAGAACCAAATTATAGCAATTTTGAAATTTTATAATAAAGTTGAAAATCAAGGCCATATTTGGCCTAAAGTGAACCTTGTCTGTTGCCTATCATATTTTGACATTTAACAATTGTGTCAATCTGATTATAATAAATTCAACATTTTACATAACAAGCCAGCTATTAGTTGCTTTGGAAAAGATTAATTAAATTAATGATTATCACCAAGGGTGCCTTTGTGTGTAAATTAGTAATAAGTGAATTTACTTTAGTTCATAGAGTCAAATAAATGTTCACAAAGGTAAATTGAACATTAAACATGTTAAATGATAGTGTCATCTATTCAAATTAATTATTTTATACAATACACTTTTGGTGATTTTAACCTAGTTAACACAAATTACTTGACCATTTTTTAACCTAGTTATTTAAAAATGCTATATAAACATATACTTTAAATGTAAATTGGTAGAAATTATAGATACATGTGTTTACTTAAAATTTAGGTTTCTTGAACATTTCTGGATTACCTTCTTTACACAATATATCCGGATATCATGGATATGGTGTACTAATTTTTGCACCTTTTGTTTGCAGAATACCATCTTTTCCGCAAGTTTATTGTTTTCTGTTTGGTATTAAATTAATAAATAAGATCCATTTTGTTACTTCTGGTGATCAGTTTATTTGGCAATCGCCAATGGCAGTCAGCAGGGTTTAAGAACATCGGTTGTTCTGCCTGCTAGTCAAATGCGTTTTGTTAAAATATACTTTTTCACTTTTTTGGTCTTTTGGAAAATGGAAAATTGCGGTTTTTATCCAATACAAGTCTAAATTGAAAACAATGTTCAAACCTATGATTGCGTTGGATAAAAACCGCAATTTTTATACGTGTGCATGCAAAACAAATTTCTTGGTAAATTTTGCTGTCTAAATACAGCACAAACAACATTTTCAACAAGAGGCTCTCAAGAGCCTGAATCGCTCACCTGTATTTCAGAGGAGAAGATTTTTTAAATGTTAGCAAACTTGATGAACAAATTGTGTAAAATTGTCTTTAAAGGGCAATAACTCCTTAAGGGGGTCAATTGACAATTTTGGTCATATTAACTTTTTTGTAGATCTTACTTTGCTGAACATTATTGCAGCTTACAGTTTATATCTATCTATAATAATATTCAAGATAATAACAAATAAAATGCTTCGCTGGGGCGCAGCTTGATACGACCGCAGAGGTCGAACCCTGAACAGTTGGGGCAAGTATGGACACAACATTCAAGCTTGATACAGCTCTGAATTTGGATTGTGATTAAATATTTGACACAGCATAGGTTTCTGACACAGAAAGAATGTGGTCTAAGAACTTGAATTTTTTTAATTTACCTATTATGGTCCAATGTCCAAAATCAAAATACATGGTTAGATTCAGCATATCAAAGAACCCCATATATTCAATTTTTGTTAAAATCAAACAAAGTTTAATTTTGGACCCCAACTTGGACAAACTTGAAAACTGGGCCCATAATCAAAAATCTAAACACATGTTTAGATTCAGCATATCAAATAACCCTAAGAACTCAATTTTTGCTAAAATCAAACTAAGTTTAATTTTGGACCCTTTGGACCTTAATGTAGACCAATTTAAAAAACGGGACTTAAAATTAAAAATCTAAATACACGGTTAGATTTGGAATATCAAAGAACCCAATAATTCAATTTTTGATGAAATCAAACAAAGTTTAATTTGGACCCTTTTGACCTCAATATCAACCAACTTGACAGCGGGGCCCACAAATAAAAAATCTAAATTCATGGTTAGATTCAGCATATCAAAGAACCCCATAAATTCAATTTTTGTTGAAATCAAAAAAAGTTTAATTTTAGACCCCAACTTGGACCAACTTGAAAACTGGGCCCATAATAAAAAATCTAGACACATGTTTAGATTCAGCATAACAAAGAACCCCAATAATTCAATTTTTGTTAAAATCAAACTAAGTTTAATTTTGGACCCTTTGGACCTCAATGAAGACCAATTTAAAAAACGGGACCCAAATTAAAAATCTATAAACACGGTTAGATATGGCATATCAAAGAACCCCAATAATTCAATTTTTGATAAAATCAAACAAAGTTTAATTTTGGACCCTTTTGACCTCAATATGAACCAATTTGATAACGGGGCCTACAAATAAAAAATCTAAATACATGGTTAGATTCAGCATATCAAAGAACCT